GTTTGGGTGCAGTGGGGCAGTAGGTATGTGGGTGTTTGGGTGCAGTGGGGCTGTAGGTGTTTGGGTGCAGTGGAGCTGTAGGTATGTGGGTGTTTGGGTGCAGTGGGGCTGTAGGTGTTTGGGTGCAGTGAGTTGAGTGCTGCCCTATCTCTCGCATTGGGGAGGTGCCCAGCTGTTTGTCCAGCATGTGCACAGCATGTGGCTGGCACCTGGCCTCAGTGCGGGGGTCTGTTCCTGCCCCCTCCTCCCTCATTGGCTGTGCTGTGGGGCAGTGGGATGGGCCTGTGTTTGGTGAGGGGGGATCTCTGGTTGTTGTCGTGAGCCAGGGGCTCTCTGCTGGGCGAGTGGTGACCAGTTACATGGCGCCTTCCAGCCCATCGCTTGCTAACAGCTGGGGTCTCCATCCCCTCCGGCCTGGGGCGGGGGTAGAGTTACTGTGCCTGGCTTAGAGGGGGTTCTGGGCTGCAGGGGGCAAGGCTCACCCCAGATCACATGGCCCCCTGGGGTGAAGCCAGGGATAGAGCCCGGAGAGCACAATTCCTTCTGTGCCTGAGCCACGAGGCCGTCCCGTGTGGGTGCATGGTGGTCCGTCTGTCCGTCCTCCCACACTGCTGCTTCGTGTCAGCACACCCCACGTGCAGGGTGGCTGCGGGACGGGACAGACCTGTGCCCAGTGGGTGACCCACCCAGGGAGAGCCAACCCCATGCAGGGCATGTGGAGTGCGAGGAGATAGCTGCTGTGGGGCTGGGGCAAGAATCTCCTCCCCACTCCCTGCCTGGGTGCAGCGCACCCCATGGGAGCTCCTGGCACGCCCTTCATGCAGGGCAGGGCTGTGGCCTGGAGTCACGCCGCTGCGGCTACCTCTGAACTGAGATCACAGCTTCTGAAAGCAAAAATCCATGGATTTGCAAAGTGCAGATGCGGCACACTGGGCTCTGTGCAGGGGCAGCTGGCTGAAGGGCTGTGGGGATCAGACCAGGGGATGGTCCCCTCTGGCCAGCAGCTCTGGGAGCTAGGTCTGTGCGGGGGTGCGATGGTCCCTACCCCGCGGGTGACGCCTGGCCATGTCAGTATGATGCCACAGGAGAGAATTCTGTTTTTTTCAGTTTGGCTTTTTAAACCCCCCTCCCAGGACAGGTCTGTCCTGGCAGGGCCGGCTCTAACTTTTTTGCCTCCCCAAGCAAAAAAAAAAAAAGAGTGCTGCCCTCCATAGCACCGCCATAACACACCCCCTCAGCACTGCGCTGCCACCCCCCCGTGCGGAGCGCTGCACCGCCAAAGCCCCCCGTGCAGCGCCGCCAAACCCCCCAGCCCCCCGCGGAGCGCTGCGCCGCCGAACATGCCAGCCCCCCGCGGAGC